GAAAAAAATTAATAATTGCTGGCACTTGTTGGTTGTGGAAATACAGGACAGGTCTTTGAATGGTACCTCCACTTATCTTCTCTTATCTGCTCCTCAGGTAGTTTTGTTCCGGCAACCATCTTAAACTCTTTATTACTCAATAATGTAAGCTCTAGGTTATTTGAAGGGTCCATAGAATGCCGAGGATCTGTTCTCTGAGTTACTCAGAGAACAGTTTCAGAGCGAAAGTTGCGTTTGCCGTAATACTGAGACTCTTACAATTTGATTGCGACGTTTTAGCTTTAGTTTTCCGTACTCCTCAGATCAATATTTTTATATAGTCTCAATATTTTGGTAAGAGAAAATAACGAGGCTTCCTGAGAGATAAAAGAAGGTAAAAGAGCAAAATAACACATATAATTAATTATATAACACAGTGAATCAACCTTAAACAAAAAATTAAAAATTAGGAAGAAACTTATGAATACTGTCGCCTAAAATCGGTCTTGGTCTTGCACTTTGCAAAAACAAGACTGGTAAAAAAATCTTAACTTTTTTAATAAACATTATGGCACAATAGTTACTAATACTTGGCGATTTCAGTTACTATAACGAACATATTTTTAATTTAACTATGCTAATTTTTTATTCGAGCTTAGTTAGGATTATCCTGTTTAAAAAAAATACAGTAATATTTTTATAGTAATAAGCTAATAGGTAACTGCTAGACTGTTGTCGGGCTATTGCACAAGACCAATACTGAGTTCGCAAGACCAAGACTCGTTTGGGCAATACTACTTATGGGACACCCTAATATCTAGATATATGAATAGTGGTATGCAGAAAATATGGTAAAATCAGTATAACCCAAAAAAGGATCTGTTTGTTATTTGAAACAATAGGAATATGTACGAAAACATTACATAGAGTACTCTAATGTGAATATTACTATTTTCTCAGTTATTTTCTAGATCGCCCACATAGTTTTCCAAATTTATGTTTTGAATGGGTAATATCACTTAGCTCACTACTTCCATGGTTGATTCTTCAGCTACTGCTTCCTCCATATCCCAGGTGTCGGTGATGTCCTCAGTCCGACTGTCTTCTGTCTTCCCAGTGAGTCCGTTATCCTTTCCTGTTAGTCACTACTTTCAGCATCTCTCAGGAGCCTCTCTAACTGAATGTTTTTTCCAGAGTGTCTCTACCACTGTCTCTCCTTCAGAACTTCCTCAGAACGCATCGTTCCAATCCGAAAATATTTTCATTTCAAATCGTCTTCTATTTAGATTAATTGACAATTTTGTTTTCAGGGTGGCATTACCACTTCTACTTTGCTGTGTTGTTTTCTATTACAATTTTCATACGCGTCCGCTTCCTCTCGACCGTTAAAATAGGCCAAATTTCATCTCCATACCCCAAAGAGCTCCGCTGTCCGCAAACTTTATACCTAGCAGGTAACTGGAGGTACCAAGACTCAATCCTCTTTCTCCTACCGTGTTCAGTGTCGGCAATTATTACAAAATGTTCACACAAGACTGATTATATTTACTGATATATGCAAGGAGTATTTTTCAATTTTATGAAATATATTTGAATTAATTACATAAAAGTATGTGGCTAAAGCACTCTCGCTCAATGTCCACTGGGTTTAACACCAGTGATGCGGTTCACTGAGTAGTGAGGGATCTCCTGGAGTCAAACTTTTTCTCGGAGTTCCCTCGCCTGATTGTAAATAGTTTATATAGGTATGTATGTGTTGTTTCTTATTTATTTATTTTTAGATTATTTTAATCTTAATTATTCTGTATATATTATTTTCCTGTATAATTTATTTTTATTTACTAGTAGGTCGATGCGAAAAATACGCACAGCATATTGTTATCAAATGCCAAATTAATAAGAAAATAAGAAAATGCAGTTCAACAAAAGATTAATACATCAAATTTTACTTTATCGATAAATATAATCCACAAAGCAAACAAAAATTAATTTAAATCTTAATTTTTGTTTGGAACCAACATGTATACAATTTTCAGTAAGCTGTATATTTGCTAAAAATTGTCCGATTGCGATGATTTTTTTTCTTTTTGTAGAAAATTAGTAACGTTGTATACAATCATGGGAATGACCAAGGGGAAAGTGTGTAATTTTTCAGTTATTCGCAAATAAAGTTTATTTTCTTTCATAACTTGTTTGCCTAAATTTTCTGGGTGATTGGACTATTTTCCCAGCCTGAAGGAGAAGGAAGCCTTCGAAATTGGTGGCTCAATCTTGAGATTTGGTGAAAAATTAACGATGATATGGCTTGCCGATCAAAAACACCATCGATGAATTATATAAACTCCCCCTCTCTCGATCATAGAGGCCTCAAGCCGACTAAATGAGACATCTATTCAATGACAGTACTACAATTAACGTAAGGTTGTGCGGATGCGAACCCTATGCCTTGCTTTATCTCGAAAATAGTACGGTTTTTGGCTTAAACACGCAGGATCCGATAGTTCCAAAGGAACTATCGGGGTCTTGCTGTACGCATCAAAATCTTTAAGATCCAATTTGTTCCGTATCGATCTACAGACCTACCACCGTTCCAGTATCGAAGCCTAGCAAAATGTTTGTATCGACTTTATTTATTTGAGAAAGAAAAACAAAAGTGGAGAATACGATTCGCTTACCCCCGTGAACCCGCTAACCCGGTATTTGAGCATGACAGGAGCTTATATTTGGTACAAAACCGATTTCGAGCCTTACTGTAATAATATATGTACGGATTGTTCACAGTGTGAATGTGATCTCACTATTATAAATGTCCTTTGAGACGGATTGTAATATTTTTCAATAAACAAGTTTAAAAAAATGATATAAATAGGATTGAAGAGAGGGAATCCATAAGGCGGCTGGTAATTTTCGCCATGTTGTCGCATTTTGGTTCAATACATTCATATCCATTTCGCTCTTTATACCGGTAGTTCATGTCATCATACATGATCATTTGTTGTGTGATCGTGTATAGTAAAACCTATTTGGACCTACGCATCACAGATATACGAATGAAACATCTTAAAAGACTCATATCAAGAAAGTTTAGATTTTTTACGGCCCCCTCCACCATCACTCTGATAAAAAAGTATTTATCTTTATTTTTCACACATTCTCAAACGAATAAACCCTCCTACCTATTTTTATTTTTAACTATTCGTCATCCCTGTTTCGTTAAATACCCGCCCCAGTTCAGGCCACCTCACAGCTAAACGTGATTGTATAAATTTTCTATTCAAATCAGAACACGCGCAATCACTAACGATGCGATTCTTCTGGACTTTAGTATTCCGTCGCTAAAGTTCAGCACAATGTTTCAATGGTTGTTCATTACCCATCCATGTCCTGCCTGCACCGTCAACTTGCCCCTAATATTGACAGTTGTTGCATGTTAATTTATATGTGAAACAATGTTACATTTATGTATAAGTAATAAATTACAATGTATTGTTTGAAAAAATTTAAACCACATCTTTTAAAATGCATAAACCCCTTTGTAACTACTTTTATTTGTTTTAGATATGGCAACTGTGCTTCGAAGATTTTTTCCATTTATATTGGGAGCATTGGTGTTGTTAAGATTTGCCTAACCCGAACTTTTTCCCAGCTTCTTTTCATTGAAGTATGTTATATAGATAAATTAAAAGGGCATCGAGGAGAAGAAGCTAAGTTTCATTGAAATCCGTACATTCATTCAAACACTACAGTCTATAGTAACGCAGGTTTTTCGGTCGCCATCTTGAAAGGAAAAGGCGAATAGAAATGTCGATGAAGGAGAATCATCCTCGGATGACCTCTAACTTTAAATCCCAATTTGAAAATATCTGGTGTGTCCACTCAGAGGACTTTCCTACCTATTTCAGAAAAGTTTTTATATCTTTACATATGTTCATGAAGAAACAAAAAAGAATTGAACTAGATTTTTTCCCCTGAAAATTGATCCAAGAAAAGATTTGAGCACGATTTATTTGATAAACTAAAGCAATGCAAACCGACTTAAGGTAGATCAGTGTAAACAATACAATACTTCCTAATATTGCTGATCAAAAACTTTTTGGCATAGCTTAGTATTGTCAAACAATAATTTCTGTTAAAAGTAGAGGAAATAGTGAAGATTGTGTGATGCGGGCTACAGATTTCCTTACTTACACTTAGTTATCTTTATTCTCTCATTCACCCCTTTCTGACACCAGGATATGAAACCGTAATCTTACATTGGAAATTGAATAGCTGCAACTTCGTTAATAGTTGTCCAAAATGAACGATTTTTATATGGCTTTGTAGGGGATTTCATTACCTTTCAAACAGCAGGCTTCCTATTAGTCCCCGAGGTAATCTAGGCACAGAGAGACCAATGGCTTAACATGTGTTTTTCGGACTCAGGGGGCTCTGAAATGTATAGATCCGTCGAAAACCGCATGTTGGAATTTATATTGGAATATTATAGGTAGGAAAGTAGAATAAAATTGTAGGACTAAGCGATGAATGGTAGGTGAGTTTGTGCGAGATCTAGGGTTAAACACTGAGCTGTTTATTTTATTGAAGGAATACTACTTGGCATCTTGCAATTTTGACTTCTAGGCAGAAAAGTAAAAAAAAAATCGGTTCAGTAGTTTTGGAGAAAATGCGCAGGGCGCACGGACAAACAAAATTTTATTATTTTTTCGAATTCTATGTATCCTGAAATATAAAACCTCAAATTTTGTGATGGGGTTAAGTTTTTGATTTTTTTTTACGATCACAATGATTCATTATCGAAAACAATACACCAAAATAGCTGATACGGCCTTAAACAACATGGAAAAATACCTCAACTCCTATCTGGAAGCGTCCCAGTAAACAATACAAACTCTAAGATAATACAAACATTAAGATTCCAAGTTGGCAGTAAACTTAATGTAAATACTTTCGGTTATTATTCAGCGACAGCCGGCCACACGCCACTCTAAGCTGCTGGTAATGACAAGATTGAGCTCACTCACCGCAGCACTGAGACGACCTCGTTGTAGGGCTCGTGGATCTCGATGAAGCCGACGTTCCTGAAGAGGATGCCGACGAGGAGCATCCCGACCAGAGGAGGCAGGGCGACCATCCGGAAGACCCAGCCGCCGACGTGGCCGCAGATGCAGAGGACGGCGATGTCGAAGAGCTGTCCTCCGGGGGCCGAGTCCTGGCCCATGATGGCGTAGATGACTCCCCAGGCGAGGATCAGAACCAGCAGCAGGGCGAACACTCGAGCCACGTGCCTGCGAAATATAAACGTTATTATTATTTATATTTGTATATGAGTCACATTTACTTCCTAAGCTCAAGCTGACAGGTTATTATTTATTTTGTCAAAGTTTTTACCGGTCGAATCATCTTCCTGCATTACTGTCTTTAACAAGTGGAATATTAATCAAACTAATTTTTTTATATATACTTTAGGCCAAAGGTCACAAAATATACAAAGTTTTTATATCCTGTATTCTTTATACGACGTTTCGGCTTCAGGAGCCATTTTCAAGATCCTGCAAAACTAATTTTAATTTAGTTTTTACAATTCAAATACATCCTTATCAGACACATATTATTTACCAACTATCAGCAATACAAATAGTCCAAATTTTATTTTATAAAAATTTTTCTACATTAAATTTATATCATCCACTTGCCATGCATCGCGCCATAAAATTTTTAAAACCTATCATTGCAATATGATTCGTCCTTTAGTCATTCTTTTATTTCAAAGAATGTCGTTTTTTCTTTTCTGAAAAATTGTAATATATAAATAATAAATTAAAATAGATTGTTAATATTATTTTTAAAAAGACTATTATTAGTTCTCGATTTATATATATATCTCTTTCGCAGACGATATCAAGAAAATTGTTGCTCTTCACTAGGGCATTCATACAGGACTGGATTTACTTAAAAAAAGAGTGGGGTGGAGGGATTAGGGATCAGCTGGTTTATATCAGCATGTTATATATTAATTTTGTCTATTGAGCTAGAATAAAACATGTTTAAGTCATCTACATCTGTCTGTTGATTTACCGAATGTTTGAGGTTTTTAGTAATAAAAATGGATTCAATTATTCTACGTTTCCCAATATTCCCATATTTGAATTGTAAAAACTAAATTAAAATTAGCTTTGCAGGATCTTGAAAATGGCTCCTGAAGCCGAAACGTTGAATAAAGAATACAGGGTATAAAAACTGTGTATATTTGGTGATCTTTGGCCTAAAATATATATAAAAAAATTATGAGAAAATGGCACCAAACCTGAAGGATGTGACTAGAAAATTAATCAAACTGTAAAATTTTAATAGAGAATGGAGTAACTATAAAAAGGCACTTTCTATATTTCGCTGTCGGCTTGTTGGAGATAATGATTTAGTATTATTCATAAGCTGTTGATGAATCATCCTAGTTACAACCGGTCTCTATAATCTGGGAGCCCTGAATATTTTTTTTTTTAAGGAAGAAAACCTAGAACCTTTAACAGCTACAGAAAAATGATCCACAGAAACTTTACTTGTATCTTTACTTTAGTGCCTCATGTTTTGTTAAATAGTAAGAGATAATTAAAAAAAAACATTTAATTTAGATAATTTTTTTTTTTTTTTTTTTTTTTTTTTTTATTGAATAATAATACAATCAGCCACTGCTGGAGGGCTATAAGCATTAGGGCTAAAAGTTCTCATTCATACAATATATACAAATAATAAAGAAATAAATAGAAATATAAGAAGTAAATAAATAATACTGATGAAGAAGGTAAATAAATAAAAAAAAAAAAAATAAAATAAAAAATAAAAAAAAATAAAAACTTCTAAACACAATCATAACTATATACAATATATACATTTGCCCAAGAATCTCCGAGCAAGGCTTTTACCTCCACACGCGGAAGGCAAAGCAAGACTCCGGAAGATCCCAGTGCCACTTTTCCAGTCGCATCACTAGTATTAGAAGCCAGTGGAGACTGAAAGAGGGCAATACAGCCACAGACGCTCAGGACATGAGTGGAGAAGCTGGCCATTGCCAGGACTCCAAAGGCATATTTACAAAAGATCTCGAGGCCACTGCCGTTTCAACCTTCGAGGGGGATGGTATGGATGCTCGGAGCTGGATAGGGATTGCGCTAGAGGATTGGGATGATGAATGAGGTTCTGGTGGAAGTTGGAGAATCTGGATGGGATGATGTCATGGACATATGGGATGTTAAGGTCATGGTGTAGGGTCTTGTTCGTGACATAATATGGAGCATTGACTATTGTTCGAAGGACTTTGGACTGGAAGGATTGGATGCGTTTGATATTCGATGATTTAGTTGTCCCCCACAGTTCAAGTCCGTAGGTCCAGATAGGTTTCAGTATGGTCTTGTAGATTAATAATTTGTTTTCTGTTGAGAGATGAGATCTTCTGTTTAGTAGTCTATATAGCTGACCAAATCGTCGGTTAAGCTCTTGTCTTTTAAGTCTCCTATGTGGGTTCCAAGTCAGTCTTTTGTCCAGAAGGAAGCCAAGGTATCGGACTGTGTCTGAGTAGGGAAGAGGAATTGAATTAAAAAGGATTGGCGGACAGGATCTGCGTCGAAGAGTGAAAGTTACATACTTGCATTTTGATTCATTAATTTTGATGCGCCAGTTGTTGCACCACTGCTCAATGAAGGAAAGGTGTCTTTGCAGGTTCTGGGACGCTATTAGAGGATCCGAGTGGGAGGATAAGATGGCAGTATCATCAGCAAATGTTGCTAGGAAGGTATCAGGACTTGAAGGGATGTCAGCGGTGAAAAGGATATAGAGAACTGGGCCCAAGACACTGCCTTGTGGAACACCAGCCTCAATTGGATAATGTTTGGAGAGTTCAGTGCCGCAGCGGACTTGAAAGGAGCGATTTGAAAGGTAAGATTTGAGGACTAGGTACAAGGGTTGAGGTAAATGGGTTTTGAGCTTGAAAAGCAAGCCATCGTGCCACACCCGGTCGAAAGCTTGAGCTACGTCCAGAAAGGCACCAGTGCAATATTGCTTGTTTTCAAGTGCAGAGGATATGTGGTCCACAACGCGAAGGCCTTGTTGGACAGAGGAGTGTCTTGAGCGGAATCCAAACTGATGGGAAGGGATATTGTGGGATTCGAGTATGGGTAGGATGCGTTTGAGAAAATTTAGATAATTAGTAAGTTAAATCAATTTGTTTCAATTTCAGGTAGAGTTTATATTTGATAAAATCATTTATAAAGGACTTTTAAACAGATCAACAATACTAAGTAATATTTTTCATAAATTCATAGACTATTCGTAATTTTTGTATAGGATTTAAAAAAAAAATATTTATTCAATAATATAACATAAACATTATATTTTCATAAATAAGGTTTAGATATGTTTAACAACTATTTTAATATATAGACAGAGATTGATAGTGTCGGCATCGAACGCAAGTGTTCGCCTATATGCTTTATAGACGAATAAATTGCATTAGATATATTTTAATTATGTTATCATTATTATACATAAAGCCGCGGTAAAGTTTTTTTGACACCATCTGAACTCGCACGACCTCTGAGAGAAACCGTATTCCAAGATTGGCAAAGACGGTGGGACAACAGCGCACCTAGCAAATTAAAAACAATAAAGAAAGAGGTGCAACGGTGGACCAGCTCCAGACGCAGCAGTCGTAGAGAAGAGGTCGTCCTCACGCGGCTGAGGATCGGACATACTAGACTGACTCACCTCCACCTCATAACAAAAGATTCTATCCCCCGATGTCAAAAGTGTAACCAATCACTAACTATAAGACATATTTTGGAGAAATGCCCTTTTTACACCACAAGATTAGAAGATTTTGGAATACCCCAGAATGTATCGGCGTCCCTGGGAAATCAGGAAGAAATGGTTACCAAAGTCATCAAGTTTATGGATAGTGAAAGACTTAAAAAACACATTTGATAGGTTTTTTTTTATTTTTTATTTTTTTATTTTATTTATTTATTTATTTATTTATTTATTTCCTTTTTATCTATTTATTTTTATTATATTTTCTCTTTTTTTTATTGATTCTACTGCTATTTTTTAATGTTTATTTATTTATACATTTTTTATACATCTTATTACCTATAAATGTCTATTATTATCCTTAATTATTTATTTTATTTCATCAATCCATTTCTTTATCTATTTTATTTTATTTTATTTATTTATTTTTTTATTTATTTACTTATTAATTTTTTTTTTTTTGTACCAACCATCCAAATGGTATTAAATGATGTTATTTGGTTGATCGGGCGCTTATGACCTGGATGTTTTGCGCCTAGACATCGAAACAAAGAAACAATTATTATACATCTTCATATAACTGAACTTTATTATATAGATATATTATAGCTTTAGGCAAGATAAAGGAAAATTATTTAATTATTTATATCAGTTAAGTGTTACCAAATTTTGAACTTCGATTATCATATTTTTTTCCCTTTAGTTATAATAATTTATCAAATATTGGATCCTTTAAAGAATTTTTACTTTTCTAATGTTTATGGAAAGCCATCCAAGATTTTCTTGAAATATATAACTTTTACACATATTTCTTATATCATACCTTAAATTAAACTTATTTAAAACAAAATTAAAATGTCCTAAGATATTTGACTTGAGGTAATAAGCAAAGATTTAATTTCACTAAAAAATTAAATAAAATAAAGCCTATAATAATTACAATATTATTACTGTTGAAGAAACAAGGGTGAAGTGATCCGTGACGAGATTAACAACGCTGTGCAACGCTGGAATATGCGATATCTGGCAACGTCGCGCAATAAAATCGCTCTTAATTGATTAGAAAACTAATATTTAAAAATCAAACTTGGAAGTCGTTATATTTCTTTCACTGTTTGAACTAAATATTCATGGTTTCCATAAATAGCAAAATGATTAAAATAAGACCGCGCCAGTGTATATTTTAGCATATTTATTTTAATTAATAAAAGTTATTTTATTGTGAACACTGTGGTCACGAAAAGCAAAGGACAGAAAATACTGGAAGAAGTACGGATAGTCGCCGTTAAAGACTTTAATAATCCTTCAAGAAATATCTATTTACTTGTATATTAAGATAAAATAGATGGAAATCAAAATTTAAATACTGCTATTGTAAATGTACATGTATATATAAATAAAGAATATTATTATTATTATTTATATTTATTATTCTTGATTTGAGGATTCAAAGCTGAAGGTGGGGGACAAGTCCAACCATCTCCAG